CTACTCAGAAGGATCTTTATTGGACGGTGATTGCCTGTGTTTATTCTGTGCAGCCGAGGTCATGATCTCCTTTTGAAAAGACGTCTGCATAATTTGCCAAGAGTTCTTTAACCTGAAGAGCCAGTGATGATGGCAAATGGACTGTGCTCTTCTTATAGAGGTCAGTTAAATGTTCTGGGAGTGGATGTCCTTTCTTTATGGTTGTATTTCTTGCCCTAACATTGACTGGCTCTACCTCCTGGCACACACCCAACAATGCCCTTTTCTTAAGTGTCTGCTCAGATTTAAAGAAATTGGCCACTGTTATGGGTACTACTTGGTGACCTCCCAATCTTCACATCTGCTGGCCTGGATGGGTCTTCCGCTGCTTCCACAAGCATCGGGCTTCCTTGGGGATGTTCTTTTATTCTACCCCAAATTATCTTCTCTGACATAAGGGGTATTGCATTTGACTTAAGTGCTGTGACATGCAAATCAACAGATGCCTTTGTTGTTCCAAATCATCATTTCATCGAAGTTAACTACACACTTCCTCGGTAGTAAGTAGTCCAACCCTAATATGCATTAGTCTTCAATGTCAGCCAAGTATACATTCTTTCTGTCCTTTATGCCCATGAGCTCAATAGTTACCCACACTGGTCCCCACAACCTTGCATAATGTCCTGTAACACCACAGAGCTTCTGTATGGCTTCTGGTACTCCTTTGAGATCTAGCACCCTGATATTCACAAGGGTTTGCTGGGATGCAGAATCTATGACAAAGTTGCACTTTTGGCCTTCTAGCTTTCCTGTCATGTAGACACTATGTGTGCTTACCATTTTACACTTAGCTGTTGGGACTTTCACAATGGAGGTTGGTGGGCGTCCCTCAACACCAACCACTACTGGTTTCCCGAAGCTGACTTATTGGTAGTATTCTTTTTACACTGGCTCCTCATATGTCCTTGCTCTCCACAGTTCCAATAACCTTTCTGGATAGCAGCCTTTCCTGCCGTGGTATCTTCCCTGTGTTGAAGTTTCCAGCATTGAGCTTTCTTGTGCCCATGTTTGTTACAGTGCCAGCAAAGAAATTAATAAAAGAAGTTAAGTGAGAAAAAGTGAAGTTAGTGAAAGTGAAGTTAGACTGCATGATTGTTAATTTAGCCATAACAGACAATATTTGAAAGTGAGTTTCAAAGTTTAACAGAGATAAAGAGAACAATTTGTCATGTCAAAGGGTGTTTTAAACAGTGTTTTGTACAGTAAGAAACAGAGTAGAGAAAAATAATTCTTGTCAGTTGGATTCTAAAGTAATTGAATCAGACTGTGTGGACTTTTGACAAGAAAAAATAATTATTTAGAGTTTTAGATACAACTGTGATATCCTATAGTGTGAAGAATTTTTGTACATACATTTCATTTGTTTCAAATATATTATTTTAAAACAAGTGGATTGTGTGCTGTCTGTTTATTGTTTGAATTTATCACCAACAAGTTACAGACACCTACTGTAAAAGAATCCCAGCCCATATTCAAAACCTGACAGTTTTAAAACCAGCCAGTATTGAAACACTACAAATATTATGAATTATAACTCTTGCAACAATAAGTGACTAAGGAATTATGAATTCACAGGTATATGTTTTCTGTTTGTTTGTGTGTGTGTGTTACAAATTCATTTCGATAATGAAGATGGTTATTATGTGTTCATTTTATCATTTTTCTTGGATAAACACTTTAGTTTTATATGTTTTTGCACTTCTTGTATATATATACAAAGGTAACTTGTTCTCTTTTTCCAATGAAGTTGCAACCTCCAATTAACTTTATGTTGGATATCACTAGGTAGACCTGAACCAAATTACAAGCCATTGTTAATCTGTTTGGATGTTAAATGTGTAATCACCATAAAATGATGAAATCATATATTAATTAAGACTAATTTATATTACATTTCGTTCATTGTCTTCATAATACTCTTTTAAGCACTCTCAAGACATCCTACTTGAAAAATATGTAAGTGTACTGATGTACCAACTGCTTTTGTTAATATCTCACTTGAATGAAAATATATAAAGCTTGTTCTCTTATAGCACCACTTGAAGGACTGGAGGTGAAACTTTTATCAACATCTTTAAACACAGCAAATTTCTCCATATCAGAAACTTTCATGGAAGGCAAAGTTCAAGGTTTGTATTGTCTTTGTTACATTTAATTAGTTGTTTGTTAATATTGTTTTACAACATAGCCCTTTGTCATGTTATTGATAAGAATATATTGATCTTTTTTCTTCAATTTATTAATTTTCAGTGTTATTGTAACCTTTTTTTGTTTTTGACAAAATGGATTAGTATATATAAAATCTGTTAACTGTTACTAGCTCATTACTTCCATAATTGTTAGGAAAAACACTAGTGACTAAACTATATACTTGGATTGATTATTTATTATGTACCTAATGTTTGATAAACATTTTCATAACTGTAGATTTGGGTAAGTGGGAATTAGTCACAATATTTTTCAGACTTACATTTGGAATGTTTCACATGATGTTAGGCTTATTGTGAAACATGATCAAGAATTTTTTATCTCATTAATAAAGGTTGAAAAATAATGACTAAAAAGTCAGCTGATTTGGCTTTAAATATGTGAACAACTTGATATAAGCACTAAATTTCATTCCTGATCAGTAATAGTGTTTTTTTTTTTTAAGAATCCAAAATGGCACAGAATTGCTAGTAACTTTCTCAGTTCATCATGGCTCATAAGATTCTACAAAAATTTGGCTTTAGTTTATAAAGTATTGTTGTACAAGAAGCCATCATGGTTAAGTAACTTTAAAATACTTCAGTTATCCTTGTGGTTATTTGTCAAATTGTTTTGTTAAAATATCATTATATCACAATATCGCTAACAATTTTATTCAAATCCTTCTTCACTGATTCCAGTATATAATTTTATTAGTAAAGAGGGATGTGATTAAAAGTATTAACAGTACTTTTATTGTAATACAATATCATACCTGCTGCCAATTAACATATCATGCTTTACTATTTAGGCATTACTCTTCACAGAAAATAATATTATGCAATGCTGTATACAAGCCAGCTCTTATATCATATTAATAACATCTTTATATAAAGGAATAAATTCTCTACTTAAGGAGTAATTAAGAAATATAATTTTAATTCTAGTTTCACTTCTTCCCTCATATATAAATAATCCATGCTGTCACTTTTTATTTCTGTAATATTTTGTTTCATATCTTAGAACTTGACCTGTCATGTGTTTTCAAAGAGTGTATGGGGCTTTCCTCTGATCCAGATATTGCCATTTCTGATAAGGTACTCTCTCTCCACCCACAAGATTAGCTTTTCTTGTTTTGTGCTGCCCTCTAGATGCAAACTTTTTCAAAAACGTATGCCACAAGCCTTATCCTCCCTCTGTTGGAATCCAAAGTTCCAACACATCTCTCTTGCAAATCATCATGCGTCACCTCTCCACCAATAGGAGAGTACCACTATCATGTGATGCATGTTACTCCCTCTATGAGCCACCACTGAACTATCACTTCTCATTAGGCAGTTGTCAAGCTCAGACTTCTTTTTTTACATTGTTCAGTTACCTTAAAGTGGTTTATATTTCTCATATTTCATATTTCTCTTAACTTTATTTACTATACTTCACAGTTGTGGAGTTAATATTTCAATATAGCATTACTTCCTCATGTTTCACGCTTATGAATTCCAAAGTTACAGTCACACTCTGGGTATATTGCCAGCATCTGATGCCGTATTTTCAGTCACAGATGACGTGGTTGTTACTGACCTGGGGTTGTTTTGGGCTGATTTCACAATCACGGGGAGGGTTGAGTGCACGTGATGGATGTCCCTCAGATTCCGGATAACAAAATCCCTGATCCCTGGCATTAAGCTACCCTGTGAGTTCTTGGAGTAGAATGTTAGGTTCCCTCTTAACTCTGGGACTTGAGGTGAAGACAATATGATCCTCATCCTATCCTCATGAGGATGTTGGTACCCAGCGAGTGAGGTTTTGGATATAGTTGACTTACCGAATCTGGTCTGTCGCACCATAGCCACTCTACACCATGGGACACATCTTCACTTGCCCACTTTTCCATCGTGGGATTGAGTGATTCTAATTTATGTTTAAGATCACATTACTAAACTATCCTCTACCACATGGATGTGCTCCCTTTAATGTCCTACCATCTATGGTCCTCCTGTTCATGTCAATGTCCATGGCGAAGATATTCCTGGCTCATATGTGGTGCAGTACCCCTTCTCAGATCATCTGATCTGTTCCACTCATTTCGGGGGTGTTCATCGGACGCTTCTGGGGGATAAGCCTGTGTTTCTCTCTCACTGGTCTCTCCTTCATTTCAATGTGGGATTCAAGCTAATCTTGTGAGTGGAGGGAGAGTACCGTATCAGAAGTTATTATTTTCCTAAATTAAAATATATTTCCGATAGGTACTTCTCTCCGTTCACTATTCCCACCCGTCCTCCCCACAATTTTCTCGTGCTCATGTTTTCTGCCAAACTTAAAAGTGATAGTTCGGTAGTGAAGTGTAGTAAATAAAGTTAAGAAAAATATGAAAAATGAAAAAATAAACCATTTTAGGTAACTGAACAATCTAAAAAAAGAAGTCTGAACTTGACAGCTGCCAAACGAGAAGTGATAATTTGGTGGTGGGGCATAGAGGGAGTAACATACGTCACATGATAGTGGTGCTCTCCTATTGATGGAGAGGTGACGCATGAAGATTTGCATGAGAGATGAGTTGAAAGTTTCGATTCCAATACAGGAAGGATGAAGGCTTGGGGCATGCATTTTTGAAAAAGTTTGCATATAGAGGGCAGGGTGAAGTGAGAAAACCTAACCTTGTGAGGGAAGTACCTATCAGAAATACATTTTTATTTAGGAAAATTATAACTTTCAATGGATTCCAACGATCTTGGGAATACATGTACCAGTCCAGTTATAAAGCTGCGGCTGACCATGATACATTAGCAGAAGTCACAGAGGAAGTTAAGGGTAGTGTCATTGAATTTGCTATAAGACAACTTCAGTTCAGTCAACCTAGAGACAGTTACTGGGAGCTTCTTGAACCCATGACCTTTTTTTATTGCATCCCTCCTTGTGGTGTGTTATTTATAGCACTTGGAGCACTGCATCATGCATGATGGATGGCTGAGGCATTATCTGCCTTTAAGATCTGGATGCCAATAAGACAGTTCAACCTCACTAGCCATGAGGAAATAGATCTCCATAGCATCTAAATCTTTGTTGTTTGAGTATATCTGCTCCTGATGCCATTTCTGCTCCTCACAATAATTTTAACTTCCTACAGTGTCTTGTTAAGTATAAAAAGTGAATCCTGCTCTTTCAACATGTGCCTACCAAACATTTGCTGGACATCTATAATATCTCAGTGAGAAACTCATTGGTTTGGCATTCTTTGATTCAGTTTTTCCACAGATACAAAACAAGCAATGGTAAAGCCACTAAATGAGAAGGAAAGCATGGATGAACTTCCAAAGCACATGCAGCTGAATATCAGGAAGGAGGACATATCAGTTGAAGATATCATCAGAAAGAACATAATAGAATTCTTCAGGTGCCTCAAGATTTCACCTAGATTTCTGGATTATGACCCAGAGTCATGGGAGTTCAAAGCAGACTACAGGGAGACAATACAGACAGTTCAACACTTGCACAATGCTATAGTAGGTGTGGCTCTTATTGAGGAGTATAACACTACTATAATAAAGAAAGAAGAACAGAACCAATTCCTCCTTCAAATTGGGCAACACCATAAAAGATGCTTTCCTAATAGCAAGAAGGAAACAATAACAATGCAAAAGTGACTAACCACACCAAAATCATATACACTGTAATCATATAATTATACTAATGAGATAATAACATACTTTAAATAAGTCATTTATAATACATAAAAAATATCATATTACACATAAAGTATCAGACCACTTCAGTCTAGAACTTCAACCTCATTGAGCAACCTCGAAATATGGTCCAAAACAAAATAGACGAAATTTGACATTTA